TGAAGAGTCATGCAGAGAAACCTTTTGAACTTCATGTTGGATAGAGGGGGTGGGGCAGATCAGAGCCAGAGCTTATGGATATTCAGATGTGCACCCACTGCCCCCCTAGTTTCGACACAGCTCCCAACACTCTTGAATGAAAGATTGTGCATGAAAGCATTGAAATAACTTTACAATAATATTATAAATAGAGGACACCAATGCATTTTGTTAATGATATGTATAAAGGGACACTATAGACACCAGAACAACTACAGCTTAATGTAGTTGTTCTGGTGAGTATAAACATTGCCTTTAGGCATTTTCATGCAAACACTGCCTTTTCAGAGAGTTTTAAGGTGAGTTTGAATTCGTTGTAAGGGGGCTGAGGGGGTGAAAACCACCTAAATGATGGGTTTAATGCTATAGTGTTCCTTTAATAAACATCATCCTCTAAGAATGACCCCAAATATCAATGGGATCTCATAGCAGCTGCTTTTCTGAAATCTCGAGTTATAGTATTATTGCTGTAATGCTCTAGATAAGCACTTAAGTGTGAGTTAAAGCCTTTGCTCATTGATAGTGCATCTGATTATAGCTTCTTTCTTTCCCATAGAGCAAAATGAAAAAGCAAAATATTACTGTTTTGGACAAGTTGCATGCAGTATTATTTCTAAACATGTACGCTTCTTATTCCTTATTAGTATATTAGTAAATATACACGTTTCTTTATAGGTGAATATTTGTGATGGGCTATACAATTATTATGAAATATAATATAAAAACCTTTTTTTTTTTTTGCCCCTTTCAATGTATACTCATACCTGGGTCTATCCTCAATTTTCAAGCAGAGAAAACTTTCACTTTCTTATTCCCAGAAGGGTGTAGAACTGCTGGGAAACATCCCCCTGCACGGTACCTGAATTTATCTTACTAAATATTGCCTACATTAAGATGTATGTGTTGCTCTTTATAAAGTGGCACCTATCTCAGGATAATAGAGAGCCAAGTTCCATAATTCTTTCAATATCATATGGTTCTGCACGATTGTAGATTACAAAGTGTGATGGATTAAAGAAAAAGCCTTCCAGCAGAGGCAGTAAAAGCTAATACAAAAGAGCTGGTATAGACATTAAGTTCTTCCACACTGGAGGGGAAAAATGTTGGAATGTCTAGTGATCCATCATTACAGAGTAGCATCTTCTGTGATATCTTCAAACACCATCAGGACTACTGCAAATGTTAGTAACACTGAGGTTGAGGTATATAAATAAACAGGCTATTCCTCATGCAAAATACTCTGCCCTTAGACTGTATTTCAGCTTCAGTGCTTGAAAGTATGTTGACAGGAAATTTAAAGTTGTCACTATGGGTTTACATAAATTTAAACATTTTGTAAAACATTTTCACTAACATGCGTCAACCAAAGCTGCAGCAAAATAAAGTGTATTAAAATTGTTTCCAGCTATTTTCTACATAACAGTTCTATTCTCAATCTCCACAGTATTTGTCATTGAGACATTAACCGGGTGAAATGGGAAGAGGACGTACGTTTAAAGGGGCACTCCAGTCCCCTAAAGCACAATAACTTATTGAAATACTTTAGCAGTTAACGGCATGTCCCCTGAGGCTTATATCATGAAAGTGCCTGCAATTTTATAAATGACCTTAATAAGGCCTTCCAGCTATTAACCAGACAGCCAGGAGGGATTCCTGCCTTGCTGGCTATAACTATAATTCAATGCGGCAATAAGTGAATAGAGAAACATCGGAGTGGTGGATTGTGGTGATTGCCATGCTTGTGACATAGGTCCCTAAAATACTTTAAGAGCTACAATAAAGTGGCACTGTCACCACCCACCACCACTTCCCCCAAAATTACTATTTCATAAAGATAGAATCTTTATGAAATGTTCATTTTGACTTTCACTGACTTTTAAACCAGTCAAGAGATTTACAGAGACATAATAGGGACTACTTTGTCTCTGTATATTTCCTATGCCTTACACTTCTAGACATGAGATTGAGCTGCCACCATCTAGAAGTGTCACTCCCACCAGCCATCATCAGCGATGGCTGCAGGTAATTGGCTCGGTCTGTGGAGGAGCCCCCAGTCTCAAGGGATCCTTTATAGATCTTAGTGCTGTATGCGCATGCATTAGAGTTCAGCAGTGATGTCAGCTCTTGGCACAGGACAAACTGGGAGAAGATAGCTGCACTGATGATGAACTTGTGCAGGTAAGTAGAACCTTTCCCCGTCCCCCATCCGCTGGACACCAGTGGCAATGTCACGGTCGGGGGTCTTTGCAATTTCTGCAAAGTTCCCAGACAGTGACAGTACCACTTTAAACAGTTAACAGTGTACCACTGTGAAACTCCTTAAAGTGCTAGAAAACGTTCAAGATATCACCCCTAAATGGCGCTTTCACTTGTACCAGAGCCTGAATATGTGACTCTGGAATGAAAGACTCTGTATGGAAAATGATATTATAGCCCACACAGCTCCTTGTTCTCTTCTGGATGCCTGTTACAGTTATCTATAAACATAAATGGAGAACCAGGGAGGGTCCAACAGTGTTACACTGTAAAATCAATTTTATTAAAAATACATTTAAAATGGCTTACTTAAAACATATGTGAGAACATTGGTATTGTGACTCACAAACATCTCTCATGTAGCAATAAATACACCAATATTCATGCAATTCTGGTATTCCTTGTTGTTTCGCTCACATGGTAAATGAATGGACCCTCCTCTAATCACCATCCATGTCCTACAAAGATCAAGTTCGCTCATGTACTTTGAGTGCACAGTATATGCATCTTGCAGTACATTAAATGCCTTTTTTCTATATTAGATACATACATTATTAGCCACCATCAATGTTCCATAACATTGATAATATTTAAAAGTTTTATATCTTAATAAAGCATTAAAGTATACTGTGCTAAGCATACTTTAGACCGAATCCTACTCACTTTATGCACATAGACAGCACTGCCTGCCCACCCGCCATGTTTTTGGATACTAATCCAACAACAGGCGGGCGCCATTTTGTTGGCGCCGCATCTTCCGGTTTTTGGCCTTGCTCCCTCTCTGCCCATTCATTTTGAAGCCTCTCCTAAACATGGAACTTCTCCCACCATATGGGCATTGACTTAGATTAATGCCACGGCTGTGCCAACAACATGGCATGGCTAGTGTCGCTATCTTGGATTATTTCACTGTCCTTCTTATGATTCCCTAAGTAATGCTATATAAATAAACACTTTTTTTTCAGCGTAATTTCGATATCCAAATTCCTTCTCACTTACTCTACCTTAGTAACATTAGTTACAGACATAACATGACGTCACACAACCATTATAACATTATAACCATTAAAGCAGCACAGGTCCCATGTACTCTGTAAACTCTTTTGATAAAGCCATTGTTATGGTGAAATGTGTTAAGTGTATTGTAATACTGCTTTATCTATTTTACTTTTATTTCATATTTTATTGTTTTATATTCATAAAAATATTTTTTACTGGACCTGATTCTCTGCTGCTGGATTCCTGAGCCTAATATCCTTGGTGGGGATAATACCACCTATGCCTATTGAATTGAGCAAACCTTATTTTGCTCTCATGCATGTGAGTATTTTTTTATTATTTTATTGTGGCTTATACTCTATTGTGTGCACTATTGCATATATGCACAAGGAGAAATCCATGTCAACTATATCCTAGAGTGGGGATCATACCACTTCATGTGATATCCCTGGAGCCAGTATTTAGGCTCCATAATATGTGAGTGTACACTTTTAACATTCCTACTCTTGCTAATGACCTTAAAATACTATGCCATATATTTTTATTTAAATTTTTTTATTTTATAAGGATACCTACTACCATAATGATTACTTGAAGAGCCTGCACTACATTATATCCTTAGTCAGGGATCATTGCAGCCAGGCGTTCAAGTTGGAGCAGAATTTACGCTCCCTTAAAGCGTGAGTGCACAATTTTATCTACCCTTATTCTGTCAAGAAGTTGTTAATCTGCTGCATCATTGTTATTTTCCCTTTTTGTCATTATATACATTTTAAAAAGGACATTTAAGCTACACCTATCTTCCTGCTCCCTCCTCCAATGACATCTGCTGTGACATGTTTGCACGTAACATGGTGATTGAATTAGCTTTCTTTAATAAACAAGAAAAGATAGACATCTAAAAATAAAATAAAAAAAATAAGGGTTATGAACAACCTGGAAAGGGTTTTGCACCACATTAAGAAGTGTTTAGAGGAGACATCTCGTGGTGTCATGCAAATAGGACAATGAGTAAACAGGTAGATAGCTCGGAAACAGACTTGATTGCGCAAGAAAGAGAAGAGGGAGAGTGTGGCTAGTTACTAGACACTTTGTCCATTTGAATGAAGTAGAAGTGGTTTCAGTTCAAGAATGAAGTATGCTGATCCATAGCTTAAGTAACCCCCCTTATCAATTACAGATGGGGTTCAGAAAAAAAGAAAGGAAACCAAAACAGTTTGAATTAATATGAGTTATATTATTAAGAGAACAAGGAGAATAATAATATATTCTTATTATATCAAACACACTGACATCTCCTGGGTTTTTGCGTTCATTGTGAGTCAGAGTAGAATGGAGAGTCCTAAGCATTCAGGGGATCAGTACATCCAAAGGTGTAATTTTTAGAGATGCTACCTGCATCATTACCTGCAGTGGAAAGGCAGCAACTTATCAGGGATGATAATTTGATGTAATATTTGGTGTAGAATGTTTGCCTTTTTTATAGTTATGGATTTAATATGCAATAATATATAGCCATGATGAGTTGCATATTCGGTTCATTACTGTAAAAATAACCAACATTCTAAACCAAGTATTCAGTCAAATTGTCATCCCTGATAACTTGCTGCCTTTCCACAGCAGGTAATGATGCAGGTAGCATCTCTAAAAATGATGAGTTGATGAAAAACTGCTGTGCTTGGGAATAGGATGCCTAGAATGGTGGGGGAGATTTCAAACTAGAAACATTTCCTCCAGAACTGTGCATGGAGGAATTTTTGGTTATTTTTGGTCATTTCATCAAAGATAAGTTTTTTCTTCTGGTTTCTCCGACTTTTGTTAATATTTCTATTCTTTTGGACCAAAAGTCATTATGAACGTTTTTATCAATCGCTAATTTATATTGTAAAGGAAATAAGACAGACAGGATATAACATAATATAAATGCATAATATAATAAAGCACTGCACACACTGCAAAAACACAGTCAGATTAAAATAAGATTTAGATGTGAGCCAAGTGACAGGGGTGACAGGAGGTCGGGCAGTCACTTTAATATTATCACAGGACCTGACCAAAACTTTAGCAAAACACTGCAGTGCAGTTGTTTCTATTCACAACCCCTAAAGGGAGATATTTGCATTTTAATGAACTTCAAGTCATAAGAACAGGGGCAGTGACAACCTTTTGCTTTGAGCCTGGCAACCAATGTGGCAGAGTGATAGATGGTTAGGCAGTCATTTAAAAAATACAAAATATGCATAACTGTTAATGAAACCCTATTCTTTGCATGAGGAAACACTGCAATGGTACCCTACTCCCTGGTGAGGTGGTGGATTAGATTTCTGTTTTGTTTAGCCACTGCCAGATTTGCATTACAATTACTTTGGGGAATCATACACAGCCTCATGTAAAAAACATATATATATATATATATATATATATACACAGTTGCAAGAAAAAGTATGTGAACCCTTTGGAATGATATGGATTTCTGCACAAATTGGTCATAATATGTGATCTGATCATCATCTAAGTCACAACAATAGACAATCACAGTCTGCTTAAACTAATAACACACAAAGAATGAAATGTTGCCATGTTTTTATTGAACACACCATGTAAACATTCACAGTGCAGGTGGGAAAAGTATGTGAACCCCTAAACTAATGACATCTCCAAGAGCTAATTGGAGTGAGATGTCAGCCAACTGGAGTCCAATCAATGAGATGAGATTGGAGGTGTTGGTTACAGCTGCCCTTCCCAAAAAAAAAAAACACACACCAGTTCTGGGTTTGCTTTTCACAAGAAGCATTGCCTGATGTGAATGATGCCTCGCACAAAAGAGTTCTCAGAAGACCTACGATTAAGAATTGTTGACTTGCAGAAAGCTGGAAAGGGTTATAAAAGTATATCCAAAAGCCTTGCTGTTCATCAGTCCACGGTAAGACAAATTGTCTATAAATGGAGAAAGTTCAGCACTGCTGCTATTCTCCCTATTTTGATAAAGCCCTAGTGGTGAAACGCGTTAATGGTTTTATAATATTGTGTATTTTATATAATAAATAATTTTTGGCTATATTCCTGCACCATTATCTTTTTACACACAATTTTATTTTATTTATTTTTTCCTGGCATTTTACTTATTTTCTATAACTTATCCTGAGGTGGGGATTATACCACCAACGCTATTTCCAGAGTGCAGTGAGGCCTGCACTCCATTTGTGAGTATATTTTATTTTATTTTATCTACTGTTACATCGTATCATCAGAGAGCACTATTTGCTGTTTTTATTCTCCTCTTCTCCTGAGAGTTGGACATCATTACCTTCCGGAGGACAAGCATCCATATATCCTATAAGCGGGGATTATTCCGCTGTATGCCTGTTATACCTGAGCTGGCCATAGCTCATCCAAATATGAGTGTAATATTTATATTTTAACTTATTTAATGTTCACCTTATACACTCTGCATGATTGGTCCTCTCTTCTTGTGTCTTCCATATCACGAGACGATCTGAACTACTATAAACAGAGAAGACACTCTACCAGCAGAAACAGATTTTTGGATGTGAGCCTCGGAACAGCTGTAGCCCAGCAGCCCCATAAGCAAAGATGACACTTTGTGATCCCTGCCACTATGATGACTTCTTGTTATGGGGTCTGGAGTCACCCCGGAATGTTCCTTTAATTTTAAACTTCTTGGGAAAAAGCATCTTAGGCAGAATGATAACATTATACAAATATATGCAAGGACAGTACAGATAGTGTTGATTAACAGGACTGCACACATGATAAGATGTAATTACCTGAGGCTTGAAGAAAATAAATTTTGCTTGGGCAGATGAAAGAGTAGCCACTAGAGACGCTGGACATATTTCGCCTCCATCGCACAGAGCGTCCATAGGAAAGCATTGAGAAATGCTTTCCTATGGACCCTTTGAATGCGCGCACGGCACTTGCCGTGCATGCGCATTCGGCTCCAGTGACGTTGGAAGGGGGAGCTGACGGAGTGAGAGGAGAGGTCACCAGCGCCGAGGCAGCCTGGCGCTGGATTAAGGTAAGCTGCTAAAGGGGTTTTAACCCTTTCAGCACCACAGGAGGGGGACCCTGAGGGTGGGGGCACCCTCAGGGCACTATAGTGTCAGGAAAACCGCTTTGTTTTCCTGACACTATAGTGATCCTTTAAACACACTGGTCTAATAAAGGAAGCTAAAAAATGTAGACTATTTCCCAGGAAACATGTAGGGAGACTTTATGAGTCTCAGGCAGAGGAGTGGGGAGTGTGAGTCTTGGGTAGAGGAGGTGTTGCTAGGAATGTATAAATAAAGTAGTTTAACTCCTAAGTTGCAGCAAATTGACTAGTGGAACTGCAGGAGCATAATTTATGTCAAAGCCACTTCATTAATCTACAGTTGTTTTGTTGCTTAGACCTGTTTTTCTTCACAATTGGAAATGTTTTTAATTTTTTTTTTTTTTTTAACCTTTGTTTAAACCAAAAGCAGAAATTAAATTTTGAAAGTTATGGTTCATTGACTTTTTCTCAAGACATACAAATTAGTATCTTTATGTACACACATTATGTGTGAACACAAAAGGTCTTGCCATTAGAAAAACTTTCATAAACTACAGCTAAATATATTTTATAGGTATACAATATTGTGCTAGAATAAGTGCACATTTATAATTGCATGTATTATGTTCCCTCCAAGTTTAAGCCAGCTGGCTATTGCTTATGCAAGATGGGCTTTCAAATGGATTATCCACATCTTATAAATGTTGCCCATTTGTGATGCCATGTTCACAATTAATCACAGTAGTGGCTCTTTACAGCCTTATCTTCATCGAGCAAGAATAGGTTTACACACTGAAACTGATTTTAAAATATGATAATGAAAATATACGATGCAGATCTCCAACATATTCACACCATTGCGTTTTTATTGAAGAGTAATGAAAATGGTAACATTCGTTAGTCCTCTTAAATTTAGCTAAATTGACAATAAAGAACTGCTTTCACTTCCCTACTAATAGTGTTCATTAGATACATGCAAAGCCAAAGCAGCAGATGGTGCAAGAGATACTGCACTTCATCAGTTTGATAGAAAGCTCTTTTTGTAGCATATATAGTAGATATTCTGAAGTAATATTCTATAAGGCACATATTTTTTACATTATATGTCCTAGTTTTGTTTGATATTTTGAAAGTATTTAAAGAGGAACTGTCATTTTGCTTTTGATGTAGTGTATTCATCCCTTTAAACAGCATTCTGATTGTGTTAAAAACATGGTTTAAAAAAGCTGTGTTTAAAACACCGTCCATTGCTAACAGTACCTGCAGAAATGCAGAATGAAGTCTAAAAAATTATGTCTGTCTGTGCTCATTTGCTTATCAAGCCAGATGTCTGGGATAGTTGTGGAAACGTGATTTCTTGAGTTTCTGTGCACCAAAATCTTTTTGGCACCTATATATATATATGTAAAGGCAGTATTCCAGGAGTTGTGGGAGAGGTTTCATCTAGTCTATATCTATATATCTACTTCCTTCACAGCTACCTCCTGTCAGGAATCTTACCTGAGTTGGGAGTCTGTATGTCACGCATTCATCCGCTTATAAAAATGTGGTTAATGACATTTACTGTCCACACAGGAAAAGTTGTGCCAATCAGCAACCAAATCCACAGAAGGGTTAATGCTGAGCAGCAATTATGCAAATGGGAACCTGGTAACTGCTTTTGGGGTCAAAGGCCGGTTACAGCCTATCAGCCTCACACAGACTGCTGAGTCCATACACACACACAGACTGCTGAGTCCACACACACAGACTGCTGAGTCCATACACACACACAGACTGCTGAGTCCATACACACACACAGACTGCTGAGTCCACACACACAGACTGCTGAGTCCATACACACACACAGACTGCTGAGTCCATACACACACACAGACTGCTGAGTCCATACACGCACAGACTGCTGAGTCCATACACACACAGACACACACAGACTGCTGAGTCCATACACACACATACTGCTGAGTCCATACACACACACCGACTGCTGAGTCCATACACACACACAGACTGCTGAGTCCATACACACTCAAAGACTGCTGAGTCCATACACACACACAGACTGCTGAGTCCATACACACACACTGCTGAGTCCATACACACACAGACTGCTGATTTCATATACACACACACACACACACACACACACATACTGCTGAGTCCATACACACACACAGACTGCTGAGTCCACACACACAGACACAGACTGCTGAGTGCATACACACACAGACTGCTGAGTCCATACACACACAGACTGCTGAGTCCTTACACACACACTGCTGAGTCCATACACACACAGACTGCTGAGTCCATACACACACAGACACACAAAGACTGCTGAGTCCATACACACACACACACACACACACAGACTGCTGAGTCCACACACACAGACACAGACTGCTGAGTCCATACACACACATACTGCTGAGTTCATACACACACAGAGACAGACTGCTGAGTCCATACACACACAGACACAGACTGCTGAGTCCGTACACACACAGACTGCTGAGTCCATACACACACAGACACAGACTGCTGAGTCCATGCACACACACACACACACATACACACACACAGACTGCTGAGTCCATACATACACACACACACACACAGACTGCTGAGTGCATACACACACACACACACACACACAGACTGCTGAGTCCATGCACACACACACACACACACACACACACACACACACAGGCTGCTGAGTCCATATACACACACACACAGACTGCTGAGTCCATACATACACACACACACACACCGCAGACTGCTGAGTCCAAATACACACACACACACACACACACACAGACTGCTGAGTCCATGCACACACACACACACACAC